GCTAATACTCACGTTTTATAGCACATTTACTCAAATTAATGTGTTTTTAATTTATAAAGTTGTTTAATTAATACAAAGTTTGATTTAATTCTTTGATTCTATTAATTTAAAATTATTGCAAATAAAATTTATTTTAATTGAAATTATTTTTCTCAGATAATGCGCACCCATCGTATAGTGCGCCCTATACTTTTTCCCAAAAAATCACTTTTTTAACAGATAGTGCGGCGCACTATCTCATGTCAAACAGGGTATTTAGATGTTAAATAGCATAATATGAAAATATATGCAATTTAGATATTATTAATACAGTTTAAATTAAATTAAGTTAGTTTTAGAAAATTAAATTAAAGTTAAGACAGTTTGTCGTCAAGTCTAGTATTATAAAACATAATTTATAAAATCAATTTTATATTTTGTGTTAAATAGTATTATTTCCACGTAATCAATTATTAGTTATTATCTAATTGGACTCCCATTTCATCTGCCGTTCCCACAGCGACTCCAATCCCGTTCCCATCCACTCCTCCCTAACCCTCTCATCAATCAAATCGCTCTCATCTTTAGTCAACGTCTCTCTCCATCGGCCGGACACGCCTTTCCGGAAATAGGAGTCATCTTTGCTGAGGGAGCCCTTCATAAACCCAAAACTGGAGGCCTTAATAATCTGATCCAATAGAGTAGGCCTACCGTCGAGTTCCTCACCACCACTACTACTAGTATTACCCGCGCTGTCATCGCTGGGGCACCGGTCGGACAGTCTGTTCACGTAATGCGAGCCTAAGAATGAGGCGATTATCCCGATACTGTCCCTCGGATTGGCTAACATCTGCTCGTAGGTAATGATAGTACAGTTGTTGTCCTCCCGGTGCTCCCAATACTTGCGCACAGTTTCGAAGTAGTCGCCGAACGGGAGTCCATTTCCCGCGACCCAAATGGTCAGGTAGTCCTTGAACTCCATTTCCATTTCGATGATCTCTTTAAAGTAAAGGTAAAACGAGACGCAAACGTCTTTCGGGTTTCGCAATACGAGTAAATACTTTGCTTTCGGACTGTAATGTAGGAGCTGTATGGGTAGGTGCGACCTCATGAACGTCACGTCATTGGTAGGCTCCGGGCCCTCCCTGTCTAACTGCTTCTGGAAGCGATATTCAAGGATGTATTTCCTGTCAAACAAGTCTTTGGTTGACGATTGACTACGACTTAGTATGCAAGCTATGATATACTCTGTCCACCAGGTGCCCGACCTGGGGTAGGTGAGCATTATGCGATCATGTGGGCGGGGCTGGTAGTCCATAGCGTACTCAACGTATTCCCGAGGAAATCGTTTTGAATACATGATTCCCCGTATTTCCTGTAATTATCCGCAAACTATCGCTCATTTTAACAAAAGTCTGCAAATTATTATAGATTTAAAGTTTAATTAAAACTGTAAATAAATATTTTAAAGATTAGTTTAGATTGTTTTAATACAGGTTTATGTTTAAATGTATGCACTGTTGCCACAATAAATTATGTTTGTCATTTATAGTTAAGTTGATTTTTGTTTTTAGCAAATGATTTGAATTTAAATTTTTCTGACTTATATTGTAAACAAGATTTAAAATTTTGGACAAATAAATGAATTTGCAGTTTTTAGTTACTCAATATTTTAAAAACAAATTACCATTTTTTGAAATAGTACGAACACCTACCTACAACCTTACAACATAAGCTGAAGTGCTGTGAAAATGAGGGAAAACGTAGAAACAAGAATATTTTTAAAACTAAGAAGGAATTTCTCGATACGGAAAGTTGGCCATGCTAGTTTAATTTATATGTGCATAAACTTAATTATGTCATTAATAAATATGCATGGTCAAAAAGTGCGAATCCGGCCGATAAGTTGGTCATATTAAGGTCAGTAAGTTGGCTGACATGGTCATTTTTGTATAAATTAACGTTATTTGAATAGACGGTATGTACTAAAAGTTTGGACGGCTCTCAACCGTATAGTGCGCACTCAATGTGTGGCAAATTTTTCCGGTAAATGTTTACGTATAATGTAGACATATAAAGTGCTATTCAAAAATGACCATGTCAGCCAACTTACTGACCTTAATATGACCAACTTATCGGCCGCATTCGCACTTTTTGACTATGCATATTTATTAATGACATAAATATGTTTATGCACATACAAATTAAACTAGCATGGCCAACTTTCCGTATCGAGAAATTCCTTCTTAGTACTATATTTTAATTAATAACCGTTGTAATTGATCTAGGTTATGCAGCGTATTGCAACGGAATTGAAATGTATACATACTTTGGGCGGGCCTTAAGTCATACCCTAGCTCAATTTGCCAGCTATAAGAGCCTGGATGAGATCATTAAAAAGGTATTGAAGTGCTATATTTATTAAAGTATTTTACATTTAGTGTTGAATTTTAAAATTAAATTATGTTTTAATAGACAACCGCGCGATTGGAAAGTGATTTGGCGGTCGTGAGGGGAATGGAGCCCACGGATGACAACCAACACAACCCGGAGTTTCAAACGTTTGGCGTCCAAAAGGATTTGTATTTTAACCCGGGACTTTAAATTTTATGATCTTAAATTTGTCTTGAATATTAATTTTATTTATAAACAACTATCTGTATCTTGAATCTGAATCTCACATGTTACTTTTGTATTTTTATAAAACACAGTAAAACTTATAAATTAGTATTATTTTTAATGTAATCATATACTATATAATATAGTTTAAGTTTTTATTTGTAATCCCAGAGTTAGATTTTAGTTAAATCAATGCAAATAAATGATTTTGTATATTTAAAAATTTTATTTAAAACATTTATTAATCAAATAATCATACATGAATGTATAATCGGTTGTAACAAACCTTTTTACAAATAGTTTATTAATAAATGTTAATGCTAGTTGTTGATTAATTTTTATTGCATGATTAAAACTATTATGAAATTCACCAATAATATGAGTTGTGGTTAAGCCTTCATTTGTATCGTAATTTTCTATTAAATCAACAAATTTCTGAATACTTTCAACATTAAGGCCCAACAATTTTAAAACGTCCAACCTAATATATTATCAGAATTGTAATTGATATTTATAAATCAGTGATCATTTCAATAAGCACCTACATATTATATTTGACAAAAATGACCCTTCCTAACTATATCTGATATACCCAGTATTTATTGTGTTATTAATTAATGTTTGATATTATACGACCCAGGTTGTATGCACTTAATGAATGATCAGCAATTGTATAATTTAATAACACTAACCTTTTTAAACATGATTCAAATAGCAATTGAGCAATATGTCTGATCCGATTAATTTCATATTTGTTTGGGAAATTAACTTTGCAGCTGTAATGATACACATCCTGTCCAGGGTCATTCAATTTTATATACTGTCCATTGATGGGTCTAGTTAAAATAATTATATCCTCCAACTCTAGCACTCCGTGTCTAAACTCCTGTTCCCCACCACCACTACTGTCCGATTCGTGTACATACTTAACACATGTTAATAATTCGGACATTAATTCATAGGATATGTAGTAATCCAATGATACCATGGCAAGTGAATCCTCATTTTCAAATATCTCTCGTTTATTATCATAAATATTCGCCATGGTTAATTGAAAATACTCCATTTGCATGAACATATAATTATTTTCTATCCAAACATTTTCGTATTGAACAAAGTATTTATCAAGGTGTTTTGTTGGAAAGTTATGCACTTTACGTGTGCGTGCAATATAATGTGACATGTAATCTATATTATCTGAAACTATATTATAAAATTTATTATTTATTAATTTTTAAAGTAAATTACGATGACACTATTAATTTATGGCACGTTAAGTTTTTGTATTTATCGTAAATATTACCTGTTAACTTTTTCTTTAAAATGGTATACTTTTTATTATCAATATTATTTTTGACAGTTAATAATAGCCTTGTTGGATAAATTTCATCATCGTCATTTTCATTAGATCCATACCAACCTTCATAGATAGTACCAATGATTTTAAAACACGATTCCGATATTAAACAATCGCCTAGTACATAATATATTATATTTTAAACTTAAACTGCCTATTTATATTATTTTGGACTTACTTGCGCAATTTTGTAAAATATTACACTTTGGTTTACATAAATAATATTTTTCCAACAAATATTCACTTTTGTACAGCAAAATATTGTCAAGCAAGGTAACATTATGAAAGGTATCATTATGTTCAATAGACAGGTTATTTAATTTTTTCAATATCTCTGTACATTCTGGTCTATCCCTCCAATTGGTATTTGAATACTCGTTAAGGCACATTGAAATTAAAATTACATTGATACTTTCCAATATATTTTTTAATTCAGTATCATCAGTGGCGGGTGTTTGTTGTCTAGGTTAAAAATTTAAGATAATATTCATAATTATTACAATATTTGAAATAATTCTTGATTAATTATATAGAGTATTTTGCAAATGAACAACATACTTTCCCATAACAATTAACTTCTTATCAAAATTAAATAAATGGACACCGATAATACCAAGGCTATAAATGTCAATTTTATAGTTATATTCATTGCCACTAGCTTCCGGTGCCATGTAACCAACATCACCAACATCGGATGTTTGACTAACATGGGACATTTTATATGACTCTATGTTATCGTACAATTTAGCCAGGCCAAAATCACATAACTTTATAAATGCTTTATCATGGGAGAATTTTCCGATTAACACATTATCGGGTTTAAGGTCTCTGTGAATGATATTATTTTGGTGTAAATACTGCACACATTCTGTGAGTTCGCGGAATATCTCCATTGATAGGTAATACTGGAATCTGGTCACCCTATTTGTGTCCAATGTGTTCATCACCTTGATCATGTTTTTCAAATTGTCAAAACAGTACTCCATCTGAATGTATAGCTGGTTAGCCTCTATCCACGAGTAATAGTATTGAATGGCAAACTGCGAACGAACTTTAATTAATAACCTTGTTTCATTTAAAATCTTTTCCCGTTCATCATTGTCCATTTCTATAATTTGAAATTTTTGTATTTAAAACTCTACTTATAAAAATGTTAGCATATTCAAATTAGTAAGCTTTTATTTTAATATTTATTAAGTCCAAAGTGCTAGGACTTAACTTTTTAAACATATTATATTAATTAAAATTAAAGCTATAAATCGTAACTTATATAGCAAACTTTTCTAAAGTTTCAACAGCTTACCAAATATTTCAATTTGTTTTACAGCATAAATGTACTGGGTGTTTCTGTCTTTAACTTTATATACTGTTCCATAAGCACCTGACCCTATATTTTGTTGGACTTCAAATGTTTTAGCAAACTCAATATTGCCTATGACAGATAAAATTTAAAATTTATTATTTTTACATTCAATATATCATATGAGACGCCATGTGTTGAAAGGTTCTTCTGTATTGTAGTTCAGACTGTAATCCATTCAGTATTTGGTTTAATGTAATAATGAAATAAAGTATGAGTATAACATTAAGCCTAATATTGCATTGATTACAGTTTGAAATATAATACAGGAGTACCTTTTACATCTTAGCGTCTCATATGGTGCACAACATGCAAAAGCAAGACATTTTTTTGCAATGCAAACTGTATACATAACCTAATTAATACTTTTCATAACTAAGAAACATTACGTTATATTATTGAAAGGATTGATTGGATTATGTGTACAGTTTTCAGTGCAAAATAAATGTCCTGCTTCAGCATAAAAGCCACCATATATTAAATATATTATACCTTGCATAACATTTCTATCATCTGTTAATTCATCTTGTTCATCATCGGAAAAATCATCCATGTACACTGTACTTTCAGTTAATTGATATTCATTAGCAAATAGTTCACCAAACGATTCATAATTTGTTTCAATTATATCCATAGGTTCAACAAATTGATAGTAAATATTATCCGATAAAATAGCAACAGGCAACTTAATCGTATCGTACATCATTTCGGACTCTTTTATAGGACCTTTGTTAGATTTCACTCTTCTCAAGTCATTCACAATATGATCGACACATTTGATTAGCGTTTTCTCATTCATATTATAAAAATAAACATGGTCATCATTAAGCAGCATGTAAATGGCATTTGTCCGATATTCAAAGCATGGACAAATAGATTTTATATTTGTAACATTTGCCATCAATTGTGGTTGCCATATATTATCAAGGTTACCACCTCTAGTACCCCATAAAAACACATGTCCACTCGATGTTAACGCGAATGAAATGTACTTGGTGTTATTAGCGTAAATTTGTTCAAATTCGTATTCACAGGGGAAAATTATTTGAGTAGGCTCATTTACTACATTTGATTCACGTTGACCACACCCAACCTGACCATACTCATTGTCGCCCCACCCATATATATGGTCATCCAATGTTAACACTAATACGTATTTAACGCCGCAACTAATTTGCTTGATAATAATGTCGGCAGAATTAAATAATTTTATGGTATCAGGGTTATAATATTTGCCACCATCACTTACTACTTGTCGACCCAGTTGACCAGTGTCATTTTTGCCAAAACTATATAGCTTATTATTACTAGTTTGTGCTAATACATAGCTATATCCACTTATAAATTGTTCAATGTCTTGGTGATTTAATTGTGGTATTTCCTGTGGTGTTTCAACAGGGTTATTATGTCCCAATCCGAGTTGACCTTTTTTATTACATCCCATACCATAAACCAGGTCATCACTTGTCGCAAATATTATGTTACTTCCATCAAAATCATCAAATACATAAAATAGTTTAATATCAAGTTTGATATTATCAGGAATATTGTTAGCGATATTAAATTTAGTTAATAAATCAGACATTTTACATTAATTATATGTTTAACATTAGTATAATTTTAATTAGTATACACACAAATACTGTATTTACACTAGTGTAGAATATTATTGCATTTACAATGATAAAAACTATGGTTTCAAAGTATTTTTTTATTATGTTTATACAGTACTTTGTACATGTGATTAAATTGTTTTATGTATAATAATATAAGATAATATTTCGATGAGTTCAATTTAATATTAATTTATAATTTAATTTAATTTAATTAGCATATCATCAATTTATCAGTAAGACTTTAAATTTATAATACCAACTTATAAACAAAAGTTCAAAAATTTTAATTATAATTATAAAAGTAACATTTATACTGTACTTTGTGACTGCTAAGTTTCACAATATTAGTTTTACATTAAAATTAAAAATATTTTTATAAATTTTTATAAAAATATTTCTTTATAAAATGTGTTATTAAATTTAGGACCTGTAACTAACCAGGCTTCTCTGTATAACCTTCCACACACACACAAATTTATTAAACTAACCTTGTTCAATAAAAATTTAATTTAAATTGAAATGTAACTTAAATTATTTTTGAAAATTTTAAATTATATTAAAATTAACCTTATGGCATTTATTTATAACTTGTTCATGTTAGGTTTCACATATTATATTAGTTTTAAATTAAAATCAAAAATATTTTATAAAATTTATGTCTCTATAAAATGCATCATTATATTTAGGCAGCACTTGTAGACATCGGCGCCGGTTTGGCAGTAGTCGACCTGATGGGACGGGTAGGCCTGGGAGGTCTAGTGCGCTCATACCTCGCAATCAGATCCGACACCTTTGTCTCGGCCATCAATACCTTCAACTCCAGTCTCGTGACATCCTTTACATCCGTAGCCTTTTCCAACTCCACGGCCAACCCTGTACCGGGGTTAGAATTGTGGATGGTACATGGGAAAATAAAAATAAGCGCACGTTTATTACGTACAGTTGTGCCCGGGGTATTATAAAATAATGATTTAGTAATGTACTATATTTTAGTTATCAACCGTTGCAATTGATCTAGGTTATGCAGCATATTGCAACGGAAATGCAATGTATACGTACTTTGGGCGGGCCTTAAGTCATACCCTAGCTCAATTTGCTAGCTATAAGAGCCTGGATGAGATCATCAAAAAGGTATTCAAGTTTTAATATTTATTAAAGTTTTCAAATTTATTAATAAATTTAAAAAATAAATTACGACTTAATAGACAACCGCGCGATTGGAAAGTGATTTGGCGGTCGTAAGGGAAATGGATGACACGGATGACAACCAACACAAATAAATTATGGCATATTTCAAGTTATTATATAACATATAGCTATTACAATATAAACAGTATCAATAAGTAATAACTAAAACAAATCAAATTTCTAAAATCAAAAATTGCATAAACAAAATATTTTTGAAATGATAATTATGTAATCATAACTTGTATTAATATAATATTAAAAGTGGTATTACATTTGAAATTATTAATTACATACATAAGTATAATAAACATAAGTTTTAACTAAATGAATGTATAAAGCAAATAAACTATAAACATAGCCATACGGTATTTTATATGCTTCATAAGTTCACGGCAAATTAGGTAATGTAACATCTACCTAAATAATTACAAAATTATCCTTTATATAAAATGCATTTTTTAAAAATTTATTAACAGGGACATTATCATGGAGCAGGACAATCCTCGCTCCAACTATATTATTAATTTCCACAACTTTATTAATAGTATTAAAATGTCACAAAGATTTTTACAATTATTACAATCGCATCCCTTTGCTTATATGATTAATAGCAATCAGGTAAATATGAATTTAATTTAATAAATTTGTATATTTTTAAATTCAATAATAATTGTAACAACTTTTGAGCTATTATAATTGTAAAAGTAAAATGATTTTTACATAGGTAGATAGGATTTATAAATTATTTGATTATTATTAATTAAATATTAAATCCTATCTATCTATATAAAAATAATTTTACTTTTACAATTATAATAACTTCGTGATATAAAATATAAGATACTATTCTTGCATAAACTGCCTATTTAACTTATTAGGAATAATATCTTTAAATATAATTGTATCAATCAACTGTTTAAAAGTTTTATTTTAAATTTTATGTTTTATGTACTAGGAACTTTCAGAAGAGGCTAAAAATGTGTTTATATTTTTAGAGTTCACCAGGGACAGGGATCCATGTAATAAGCTGGCTGAAATATTGGCAGAGTCAGGGCAATTGGGTGCCGCCCAACAGCTCCGGGATTATAATAGGTCGGAACAGCCCATGGTCTACCAGGATCAAATTCAATTAGATGTAAACCGAGCTATTATATTACGCTCAGCTACCACACGATGGTAAGTTAATTTAATATAGTTAGTTATCATAAATTTGTTATATACAGTTATCTATGTTAGTGAAAATAGTTAAAATATTTTTTCTGTTAATTTATTTAATAGCAATAAAATAAAAGTAACTTAAATTATAAAATAAATTTTTCAATATGTACCAGAAAGTTTATAAATACTTATTTAGTGTATTTTACTAGCAATTGTGGGCTAATGCTATTGATTTCAATGCTATCGATTAATTGATTGAGTTCAATACACTTTTAAAAATAGATAGCTTATAATAATAATTAAAGTTATCTAATGTTATAATATGATTAACAATAATATAACACTATATTATAATAATGCAGGTATAAAATGGACTCCAACCCACGTGGCAAAGCTGTCATATTTGTCCAGGATATAAAATATACGAACGAGTCTATTGTGGTAAACCTGGACAACGAGGGGTTACGATTCAGGCACATTTTCGATCAGCTAGGCTACGACACTCAGATCCACATGCGAAAATCTTGCACCGAGATAATGACCACGCTAATTGAGTATGCTACTTCTGAACACCCTGGTGACTCATTCATAATGATGTTCACCGGACATGGATTTGATGGCAAAATATGTGCCAACGACAATTACGAGCATGATGTTTTACCCATTCAACGTGTGCTAGATTTGTTTTCCGAGAGAAATTGTCAGCCATTAGCCGGCAAGCCTAAAGTGTTCCTGTTCAATTGTTGCCGTGAAAGTGTGTAATTAACTTATAATCCAATATCAGATTTTAATTATTAAATTTACTGTACTAGAGCCAAATCAAAACACCGTGGTTAAAATTGCAGATGGCACATGGAAAAATAAAAATAAGCGCACGTTTATTACGTACAGTTGTGCTCGGGGTATATTAATATTATAATTATAAAATTATGATTTAGTACTATATTTTAGCTACTAACCGCTGTTATTGATCTAGGTTATGCAGCTTATTGCAACGGAATTGAAAAGTATACGTACTTTGGGCGGGCCTTAAGTCATACTCTAGCTCAGAGACGTCCAAAATTTTTAAAATCCCCAAATTAGTGTTTTAAAATATTAGTAAACTTATTAACTATTCACAACACTAGTATTTAATGAATTATAAGTGACTTAAATATTTTG